TCGGAATTATGATAAAAAAATCAAAGTAGTAGAGAGCTGATCCATAATACATGAAACAGAGGACAGTCATTATAAAGAATACCACTTATACACCAGTTAAAAACATTATTTTATTCTAGTTTGCAGAAGTCTTTAGATATTTTTTTCCCTTTTATTTTTGGGGTAGACAGTGGCAGAGCTAGAAATTTAAGTTAGTGGGGGCTAATAAAGCAAAATTTTAATGGGACTACAAGAGTAATTTTCAAAGTTCTAGTGGAGGCTATGAGTATAATATAACACAAATAAATATTTATATTTATAGTATTTTTAAGGAATAAAAATTTTGAGTGGGGACTTAAGCCCCCACCGAGCCTTCTTTGGCTCCGTAGATGGGGGTAGAAATGCAGACGTATTTTATTATTAAGGCTCCTACACCGGATATTGCTAACACTCCTACATGGATTTTATGACTAGAAGACCACAAGTTATTTTGGGCTTGTTCGGTTGCATTTTTGAGTTATGATGACTTGAGTGTAGATCTTGAGTTGAATTTGAGTTATAATTTGAGTTGAAGTTGTAACTTGAGTTTGTCTTTGGATGTGCACATTTGAGTTATGATTTGAATTGAGAATCTATTTGAATTTGTGTTTGAGTGAATCAAAATTTAAATTTATATTTGGATAGTATTTTAATAAAAACTTAATGGTGTCAATGGTGATGAAAAATTTTAATAGGGTATATAGGTGGGGTTTTATTCGTCTCTTTGTTGTGAACACATAGAAAAAAATCATCTCAATCGGAATTAAAACGGAAAAGTTATGACGTTTTTAAGAATATAAAAATAATATTCATTAACTTGAGTTTGAGTTTAAGAACTTTAGTTGAAGGGGAAACTTGAACTTAGATCTTAGCCCCTGTCAGGCCCCCTATGAGGAAGGTCTACACCAAGAGGACCAAGGGTGGACTGAAACTCAGGCCCAAATGAAACGAAAGAAAGGGGTTTGGTTGTCAAGAAAGGCCGGTCGACTGCTTCGTTCCTCTCCTCAATTTGCTGGGCCAAATCCATAACTTCCTGCAAGTTAATGGGCCGAAGTAATTTGACCTCAGCCCGCACGTCTTCTCGGAGTCCGTTAAGGAAAGCTCCCCGGAAAATGGGTTCCGGAATTCCTCTCATCGACGCCGCTAACGCCTCAAAACGGTAGGTTCAGGTTCTTAGACGGTAGGTTCAGGATCCTATCAACTCCAAACTCAAGTTAAAACTCAAATTTTACAAACGAACATAAAGTTGAATAAAGTTGTAACTTGAGTTCAAACTTTCTTTGAGTTTTACTCTAAAAGAACAAGCCCTTTGACTTCTCCCTCCCCCCACAACATCAAGCCCATAAATGCATGCAGAGAAGCCAGATGAGTTCAGAGAGAAGATAGAGAGAGATTACCAGCAGACCATGGAGATCACAATAATAATAAAATTCTGGCCTCTCAGCCAATCCACCGGCCCAACAGCGGAGCATGTTTAAATTCATATCAGCATGAAACTTAATATCTGTGCTGTAACGCTTCTTTGAAAGCCTAAGTAATCCATCTGATAATATCCAGTTACCCCCACGTATAAAAATAGGCTGGCCATTGACCTTGAACAGCCTGCAGACCAAATATGCAAAAATTATACAAACGATAGGGAGGAGAAAAGGAATGTCCAGTTCAACATTAAGAACTGAAAATGGTAGTTAAAAATCACCAAATTGCAATTAGGTACACCTTAGACCTTACCTGCCACCTGTGGCACTATCAATATGGCTCTCGATTTTGCGGAATCCAAATAAATGGCTCCACGAATCAGACTCTCCATGACCCTTTACATCAACTGTAATAACAACATTGTACAATGATTGCTTTCCCATGCCATTGGGCCACCATAAATTAGGCTTGTAGAAAAAGAGCTGCCAATTTGCATTGTTTAGTAATCTGAAAAACCCATTTTTCAAAAGGCAAAACTAATTGATGAAACAACATCAAACCAAATATAAATAAGTAATCAAGAAGCTCGGAAATCAAAATTATACGTATTCAATTTTCTACTTTGAGACTCTCTCATAAGTAAATAAGTTTGCTCCCTATCGCTCCCTAACCAACCTGGGGAAACGTATATTGTATCTGTGATCCAGCTGGGATTGACACATGTTGAGTTTCGAGATGCTCTACCAAACACATGCTGCCTTCGAGCTCTATTGTCACTTGGATGTTCAAAGAGCACTCTGCAACCCAGGCACTTTTATTTACCAACTCTGTTGTAGCATGCAAATACACTCTCTTGTAACCATCAAAGAATGATGAAACCAAGTGGGGATCAATTATTTTTACTGGCTGCATCAAATGGTAATGCATTTTCTATTAAAACATTAAACTTGTTACACATGACCATGATATTACAGGATAGAGAGGAACAAGAAAAACATAAATAATTGGAACATGGAAGGGAAAAAAAAAGGTAGTCAAATGGTACAAGCTTCACTAAAGTAATTGAAGTCATTTAGGAAACATATATAAATCTAATCAGTTAGCCGTGTGATTAAAACTCACCCCAGTAACATAAACTGATACCTCATCCCATATGCCAGTGTTTCTATCCCTGGAATAATGAACAAGAGAATCACATCAGAGATTCTTTTTTCTTTTCCATATTGCTATTGCAGAAATAATCATCTGAAATAAAATGGAAGCAAGTGAAGCGAAGAACCACAATATTAATAAATATGTACTTGTCCTTTTTAAGGGCGCAATGTGATAAGAAAATTGAAATAAACTAAAAACACATTGCATAAATTTAATCACGGTGGGGTAGTCACCTTATAGGAGCTATCCAGTCCCAACCTTCCACATATTGAGTGGCAACATCTTTACCAATCTACCAAGAGAAACAGATTAAAATTAGTCGGAACACCGTACATATTACTCATATTAATTTGCCCTTTGGCCCTTCTTATTAAGTCATAAGTCATACTAATCATTGTCTTTTAGTAATCATCCAACTTGGATGAAAAATGATGGCATAATGTATTTCTGAGACATTATTATCCGTAGAATGTTATAGCCTATAGGACAAGATTCTGAGGGAGGAAAAATTTAGGGCATTAGCTAATCAATAAATTTTAGTTCAGCAAATTATACCTCATGATCACCACCTTGCCCCCCCTTCGGAGGAATGCTCCCAGGATGATCTGGAGGGTGAACAAGAACAGCAAGCAAGTTTTGACCCGCGGGACGCACGATATCTGTGACATCAAGAGAATGCCTTCTAAACATCCCTT